GAAGGTTGGTACCAGAATTCAGCTTAAGATAGGGCCTTTCGCACCGCTTTAGTTCCAGAACTAAACGTACGGTACTAAAGTACTGGGACTATTTTGCGCGAACTATTTCCCGCGAACTATTTCCCAGTACCATTTAAAGGGTTGCATTCGCGCCGAGAGTGTGTACTAAGAAGTGACGTAAGCCGGTCGACAGTTACGTCATATGTGCGCGGCGTTCAACAACAGAAACAAAGAAGAACAACATTAACAACAGGAGGATGGAGGACGCTGTGATCGGAGCTGTGTTTTTGTTGTGTCTCGCGGGTTTCACAATAATGGACATGGAAAGTCGATGTATACGTAAAGCGATTGAAAGAACAGAAAGGAGCACTAAGAATCTCCAATGACAACTGGCAGTGCTACATTTGCTACAAGTGCCTGCACTTCAGCGTCCGTCCATCTATCGCTGCTCTCCATACTTGCGAAATAAGTTGACAATGTTTACAGTATGTTTACACTGCGTTTTAAATCATGGCGGGTGAGGGCGTTTTCATACGCTTTTGGCCAATCAATGTCTACTTAAGTCACGATTAGTACCAGTTGTGCTGGTTAGACCCTGCTCCGGCGTAGGAGCTAATTTGGTTCTCGAAAAAGGCAGTCCGGTACTAAAATCGCACCCAGTTCCGGCAGTGCGAAAACACCAAAAAGTGGGTAGTTCCACAATTCGTTCTGGTACTATGAAAAGGTTACCGCAGTGCGAAAGGCCCTGATCAGTAACAGTCTCTCTGTGTGCACGAGCGGAGTGTTTACAAATGTCTTTTCAGTTAACTAACACCTCACAAATGTACAAACAAGCCAAGCAGAGAGACAGGACCTGGATTACGTCAAATAGACAGCTTGATATTAGAGGTTGTTTTTGTTGCAAACGACATCACATCTGCCAAATGAACAAAACCCAGATTGCTCCTTTAGGGTTGCTCTTATTTTGCTCATGTTTGGCTGGTTTAGTCCGTTACTGTGGGTTTGGGCACAGGCACAGATGTCATCTGCACAGGTGTTTATTTGAGAGTAGGAAAGACAGCGGTTTACAGGGAAAAGTGTTAACTGAAAAGACTTGCAAATGCTCAGAACATGCATGTGCCGTTCTGTCCCTCCCTCCGTTTGCTCTTTACCCAGAGCGAATAACTCCATTTATGACGTCTCACTTAGAAAGTGTATTTCTAAAATTGGCTCAGCTGTGAAACAATTGCACCATTAACATCATGCAGCAGAAGTCATTATTTCAAGTGCACTCGTGTGATGGATGAGATTGATGAACAGGAGAAGAAGAGCGGGTTTAGTGAGTGCACATTAATTTAGAGTCAAGCAGTAGTATCCTTTAGAAAGGGGTATTTCTGGATGGATATGTCCGGACATTCTCAGAAGTAAATGCTTAATGAGTTTTAAGGCCATTTTACCTATTTATGTTCTTCATAATCGCCATTGATAGTTTGAATTAATTTTTTACAATGTGTTTGTGTTGGGCAAAAGCAGAATACACACTTTCTCTCTATTTGCATGGGCTTCCATGTGTTGTCTCTACATTTACCGGTTATGATCAGGCATGGCAGGGGCAGCCTGGGGTCCTTGTAGCTGCTCCCTCCCTCAGCATGGCTGCTGTTATCACTCTGCCTGACAATGTATCCCTGTGGAAAAAACACGATCCTACCTCTGTTCCCAATATCTTTGTCTGTGAGTTGGGGGTGTAGATAATGGGGACCTGTCTGTTTTTTTGCTGTAAATTGCTAATGGCCAGAAGTTCTATTTGCCTAATAAAAGAAAATCAGCACTCTATATTTAACTAAATCTAAAGCAGATGGGGAACAGTATGTGCTTTACAAGCTTCGACAGCTTTAGGATACAATAGATGCCCTGTTTCAGACTTTATTGAGCAGAGATCCTCTGGATGGTTTGAATTTTGAACTTAATAATGTCATAAATTCTTAAATGGATCAATGGATACATTTTTGAATTCTTGACATTTTTGTATTTTTCAATCTCTGCCCAGTAATTTAAGGTCACTGGTTTGATTTTACATTTAAAATTGTTTTAATTAATCATATGCTTTAAAATAATTGTTTACCCAAAAATGAAATTTTGCTGAAGATGCGCTTACCTCTGGCCATGTATGATGTAGATGAGTTTGTTTCTTCATCAGAGCAGATTTAGAAAAATTTAGCATTACATCACTTGCTCACCAATGGATCCTCTGTAGTGAATGGGTGCCGTCAGAATGAGAGTCCAAACAGCTGATAAAAACAGCATCATAATCCACTAGTAATTCACACGACTTCAATCCAGCAATTTATGTTAAAAAAAGCTGTGTTTGTAATAAATCTATTACTTACTGGATTATTGTGATGTTTTTATCAGCTGTTTAGACTCTCATTCTGACGGCACCCATTCACTGCAGAGGATCCATTTGTGAGCAAGTGATGTAATGCTAAATTTATCAATTTCTTCTAATGGACATACATGTTGTATAACCTAAGGGTGAGCAGATTTTCATTTTTGGGTGAACTATTCCTTTAAATTATAATTTACGACAATTATTCTCAGCAGATCCTGCTCTTTTGAGGTTTAGAGAGATTTAGATGTACTTAAGCAGATCAGTAAGTACTGGAGCTTATGGGATGGGGTTAATATGAATGATTCTTCCACCTGATTGGCTAGACTTGGGGCACAGGCTTCAGGTGCAATAGAACTCTAGTCTCTGAGATGGATCTGTGTATTTGTGTTGTCTTCGGAGTTCTGACCATGTATTATTTGGCTTCCTCAGCTCGTCTTGCCGGAGTACCTCATCCATGTGTTCTTCTGCGTAATGTTCCTGTGCGCCGCAGAATGGCTGACGCTTGGACTCAACATGCCTCTGCTGGCTTATCACGTCTGGAGGTGGGTGGGGCCCTCAGCCCTAAATGAATCGCAGAGAAACACACATTTCGAATTTATTGGCTATATATCAAACACCTCAGCAGATGTGTCAAGCTAGTTTTTCTAAAGTTAATAAGTGATTAGTCAACATTGTTCTTGCTCAAAGTGCAACATCAAGTGTTTGTGTGTGCAGGTATATGAGCCGCCCCGTGATGAGTGGACCTGGATTGTATGACCCCACTACAATAATGAACGCAGATATTCTGGCATACTGTCAGAAGGAGGGATGGTGCAAACTTGCATTCTACCTCCTCTCATTCTTCTACTATCTTTATGGGTATGTAGAGTTTAAAAATACAATTTTTTAATATGTAAATGTAATTTTTAATACACACTTTCATTCAAAAATTAGGAGTCAGTATTTTTTTCCTCTAAGAAATCTATCTATCTATCTATCGTGTTGTTTCATCAGAAACCCTATAGATTATGTTTCTCTCTGGTGTTTCTATTATAGGATGATCTATGTTTTGGTGAGCTCCTAAACTGGATGCAGCTGGAAAGCATATAAGGAAGCGTTTGAGATGCTGATTTTAAAACTGAATTTGGACTCGGCCATCTCTCTCAGTTCTGCTCGGCTGTTTCAAAAGGACATTGACTTTACTTACACCTCATTGGCCAAGAACGATCCAGGACGCAAGCAGCCTGCACAACTCCAGAACCACACATGCAAAAATAAATGATTACCAACTCTTCAGTACAACCTGTTTAGACTTATATACACATGCCGCACCAATGCCAAAGCACTTCACACACTGAAAGCATCAGCAGATGAGCTGAAACCGTTTACATTGACCAGATCGTGTCCAAAGCAGAGGCACAAGGGCTTCAACACTATACCACTGATGGAAATGTGCAAAGATTTTACTCTTGTGTTTTCAAACTGTGGGACAAAATAAAGATCTTGATTGTATAATTTTTACAGACTTATTTTATCTTAAATATATTACTGCCTTGTAGCTCAGTCAGTTCTTTAATTTGTCCTTCAGTCGTGTGCTGCCTTGGTGGTTCAGGATCTTGTAAGTCTGTTTTTTGAGCTCATGCTGGTGGTCTGCTTCATGTTGATGGTTCTTATCAGATGAGTGTTAAAACCACTGTTTACTGTCTTTTTGGTAGGAAATGAGAACTGATGCTTTCAGTGTGTTGAAGGCTTTACTTCGCTCATACACCCTGGAAATACACCACATGTAACTTTTTTTTTTTGCTTTTAAATGTATTATTGTGTGCATTTCGTATTTCTAACTGTTGTTTTCTGATTTTGTTTTACTTCCATTGTTTTTGTGAGATGAGTGTGGACACGATTTTGAATATTTTGGTTTGATGTTGGCATGATCTCAGTGTGCCAAGATGCCGTTTTCTTTTAGCCTGTCAGTAATCACAAACAGAGGCTTCTGTCCTGAGGTGATGCTGTAGAGTTTGTATCTGGATTCAGAGCAGAGCGGTGTGGAAGGATTCTTTACCACACTGATAGCTGTTCATAATCACCAAGCTGGACTACCAAGGTTATGTTTAGAGTAATAAGTTATTTTTGATTTTGTATTTGATTCTCCCTGTGATTTAGATTTTTTTTCTGTTTGCTTCCCCCCCCGTGTGTGTGAACCCAGCATTATGTGCATTTGAATGTTATAAAGTCTTGCAAGAGGTATAGTAAATTGTGTATTTTATTTTATTTTATTTTTGGCTTGTAATATTGCTTAAAGTTCCCAATAAAGCCTCCCATAGACAAATGGTCATTTTATGATGCCATTTTGTATTAACTTAAGTTTATTTCATTTGGCTAAAGTAATTATGATAAAATGGGTTTGGTTTAAACAAAGAATATGACATGTAATGCTTATAATAGTTAAAAGAAAAAAAAATCAGCTTTGTTAGTCAACTTAAAAAAATTTAAAGTTTGACTGCATACATTTTAAGTTTTTAAGAAATCTTTTCCCAATGATAAAAATTACTTTTATAAAACTGATATTATAAAACAGTAATGCTGCTTTGCATAAAGCTCCTTATTTTTCCCATAAAAGTGGGCGCGGCCATTTGTAAATTTTATGGTTCTGGCTTCAGGTCTCATCTGCCTTTGTTGCTTGACATTGCAGATTGGTGTCTTAGCATATTATTGTAATGCGTTATTTTAACACACTGGTTTGTACTACAAACAGTTTCACCGTTTACTGCACGCTGTTGTACCGGAAGTCCCGCCCATAGGCTTCCTTCTGGATATTAGTCATAGTTTATCAAAAAGTATTATCATGTGGCAAATATGAAGTATATGAAAAAATATTTTTCATCATTCACGACAGCATTTGAGCTGTTTTGATTGTATGACTATTTGTGTTTCTGTTTAAATCAAAGGTTTGGTTCATTTCATAGGTAACGTAATTGTTGCAAACTTTATACATTTCCTTACTAATGACCACTTTGAAAAGAAAATTGCCAGGAATGATTGCTAACAACTTAATCCACCATCCAAATCACCATTACTCACATAAGCAACATATGGTTTCCCAGACACAAAAATAAACATTTCTCTCAATTTGATCGACTGTGCAGGATTAATGCAGACAATGCACGATATAATGCAGACATATCATTTTTAGGAGCTAACCGATTTCTAAGAAACACTGTCTGAAAAAGACAAAAATTCATGAACACGCCATGCAACAACACATACAACTATAATAGATGGTTTATCAAGACAGTGCCGAACCGGATGTTTTCATCATAGCTGTAATAGCCAATTATGAAATGATTTTTGTAATAGCCAAGCACCAGCAGCGCTATAGATAATATTGCAGCAGCATGTCTTGGTTTTGTGAAATATAGTAAAACCAATGTTACCGAGAGGAAACAGCAATCTCGGCGCCGAAAGCTTTCCCCATATTAACGCAGGTCCTAGAGTTTGCCTGATTGTAAGCCTTCTTTTAAAGATATTCTTGTGACATTTTTCTCTTGGTAATGCATCAGCCATCTCTCTTTCTACAGTCTAGACAAATCTCCTGCTTGCTCAGGCTCTCTCCTCCCCATCATGAGTGTAAACGTCTTGGCTACAAGAGTGTTATGGTGCTCGGTCTGATCCACGTTTCTCCCTTATTTACACAGCCAGGACTCTACACAAACAATTTGTTTCAACATACATAGAAAAAACAGATAGAAAATATTCACAAAATAGTTTGTTTGGGTGTTGATTACAATTTTCAACAGCGTGTCTCAGAAATCACTTGCTGCACCTTTAAGACTCACTTACTGAACAAGACCCATTTAATTGCAAAGTTAAAGTTATATATTAAGCACAATATTATTAGATTGACTTAAAAATACAGAATTTTTAAAGTGCCATCAGAAAAGAAACAAATGCATTCATAATCAAAGTAGAGAAAATCCACAGAGCAAAAACACCAAAGTAATTTGTCTTTTTTCATCGGGACACTGATCTCTCTGAAAGTCGCTCTTTGGTTTCTTGATATGCTACAAACTTTTCCCGAAACTCATGAAGGAAGTTGTATTGCTATAGGAGACAAATGAGAAAGCATCATTAATAGGTTAGCTGTACGGTTAGGGAAAGTGATGCATTTAGGTTACTGGATGCCTCTTAACCTTGACAGTCTGAATGGCTCCACCTCCTCTTAGCTCCCTCAGGATCTCCAGAGCAGCACTGGGTGTCATGGAGACAGAGAGCTGCAGCAGCAAACATGCAGCAACTGTGACAATGAAGCACAAGTTAAACTCCTAATCACACATACGGGACTAACATTAATCATAACACTGAACCCTGTTTGAGCATTTGATACTTACTTAACCCTGAGCGTCCCAGGCCTCCATAACAACTGTGGGGGAATAAAAACACTGATGTTTATCTAATTTTAATAAGTATATACAGTGGGTACGGAAAGTATTCAGACCCCTTTAAATTTTTCACTCTTTGTTATATTGCAGCCATTTGCTAAAATCATTTAAGTTATTATTTTTTCCTCATTAATGTACACACAGCACCCCATATTGACAGAAAAACACAGAATTGTTGACATTTTTGCAGATTTATTAAAAAAGAAAAACTGAAATATCACATGGTCCTAAGTATTCAGACCCTTTGCTGTGACACTCATATATTTAACTCAGGGGCTGTCCATTTCTTCTGATCATCCTGGAGATGGTTCTACACCTTCATTTGAGTCAAGCTGTGTTTGATTATACTGATTGGACTTGATAAGGAAAGCCACACACCTGTCTATATAAGACCTTACAACTCACAGTGCATGTCAGAGCAAATGAGAATCATAAGGTCAAAGGAACTGCCTGAAGAGCTCAGAAACAGAATTGTGGCAAGGCACAGATCTGGCCAAGGTTACAAAAAAAATTCTGCTGCACTTAAGGTTCCTAAGAGCACAGTGGCCTCCATAATCCTTAAATGGAAGACGTGTGAGACGACCAGAACCATATATATATATATATATATATATATACAGTATATATACAGTTATGTATATTTAGGTTTATGCAAGTCTCTTATGCTCACCAAGGCTGCATTTATTTGATACAGTAAAAAATATTGTATTTTTCAAATAAAATGCATCCCTGTAACAGCAAAGCTGAATTTTTAGCACTTGATCCTTCAGAAATCATTCTACAGTAATAGGCTGATTTGGTGCTCAAGAAACATTTATCTTTATAATGAATCTTGAAACAGTTGCATTTGTTGTTTATTTTGATTATTATAATGTTACAGAAAATGTCTGTCAATTTTGACATTAATTCAATGCATCCTTATGTCTTTTAAACAATAATATTCAATAATACCAATACACCTTGTCCTAAAATGTAAAACTATAGTTCAATTTAAAATATTTTATCTATCTATATATATATATATATATACACACTGTAAAAAATTATTTCACACTTAAAATAAAGATTTTACTTAAAAAAATTCAGTTTTGCACATTACTTAATTTAAAGCTACAAATGTTACATAACATACTGAGTTTATGGTTTACTTTAATTAATAAAGAAAAACTACGAGTAATTTTGAGTAAAGTCAACAATATAAAAAAAACTGTCAAATTAACAAAAAATTTTAGGACCCAAGCAGCTTAACTTTGAACCGCGCAATTTGTTGTGGCCATTTTAGAAAACCAGATCTCAGAAGAGGACTTCTCATCCACGGTGAAGGTAAGTAACTGTTAAAGGGGTCATATGATGCGATTAAAATTTTTCCTTTCTCT